ATTTTACCCTTGTCAGGAACTAGAATCCCAATATTCCTATTGAAAACCCTAACCCTCGCAATCCTAATAAAGTGAGCAATTCTAAAAGAATTAAAAGATGAAGAACAAGATAAAATAAATGCAATTTGAAATAATTAAATATAAATTTAACCAAACTACAAGGGGTTCACATCAAGGGTTGTGACCCTTACCACAATAATAAAAGACTAGCTAGACATATTCATGTCTGACAATTCTAAGAATTGAAAAGAATTCATAAATTAAATTATAAAACCAAAAAATTGGAGAAGAAGCTTGCTCTGCGTTCTGCCTCCGTCTTCCTCTCTGTGCAAAAGTCCTCTTCTATTGAGGTCTGAGTCTCTATTTATAGAGTCTTTGACCTGGTGTAGAATCTTGATTGAATCCTTGTCGTAATCTCAGTGTGATATGTCTCTGATTTAAAACAGATTTAATGCTGATTGACGCACCTCCCACGCTACTAGCGTGGTTACTACGCTGTGAGCATGGGAGTTTTTCTTTATAATCCTGGAGCACCACGCAACTAGAGTGGTTGCCACACTGCAAGCGTGGGCTTTTTTGAGGGTCTGGCGCTACTAGCGTGGTAGCTTCTGCCTGAAAGGGCTCCCTTCACGCTATGAGCGTCATACCCACGCTGTGAGCGTGGGCCTTCAGTTTAGCTTTTCCTCTTTAGCTCCAGTTTGTCTGCTTTTCCTACGAAATCAACACAAAATCAGTATGCAATCTCTGATTAAGGTTTTGACAGATCAACGGTGATTATTGCCCTTTTTGCTTAAGATTTAATCAACATTCTTTCTCTTTTTGGCTTAGATTTCCTTATATGCTGAATGCATATAAGCTTTCTTCACCCAAATGAAAGTGAGAAAGAAATGAAGTGATATCTGAGGAGTCGAAGGGGTAAAAAGCCCTAAACCCAATTGGCGGAATTCAATAAAATTTTGAGAGGGATAATTAAAATTTTTGAAAAATTGGTGGACTTTAATAAAATTAGGCTGTGACATTAGTTCCAACCCTTCCTTTAGTCATGTTAGTAAAGAGTGTAGCAACATAGTAGGAACACCATGGAGGGCAAGGTTTCGAATGTTGCCTCCATGTATTTTTACAATTTAATAATTATATTTTCTTCTTCAAAATATTGTATAAATATTTTTAATGTATAATCTTATTTATATATATCTTTAATGTATAATAATAATTGAAATTTTATTTAATTCAAATATTAGGTATAATTTATTTTATTTACAATATTTATTAACATATCTTTTATCCATAATATATATTAAAATTTAGGGAAAGGATATTGGAACAACCAATTAGTATTACTACCAATCAATTTCACCGTTAGATCGATTATGTTGATCGAACGGTTATATTTATTTTCATTTATGTATGGTTATGATTCCTCATATTCACATTAAATATGAGGAATCATAACCATACAGAGGTATAATTAAAATATAAAAGCCACCGTTAGATATGAATAATAATGAGTCAAGAATATGTCAAAAAAATCTCAGTACGATCAGATGGTAGATGTAAGAGATATCGAAGAATAATCAAAGATTGCTCTTTCTTATCTTAAATTAGCGTATTCTTTAAAATGGTTATCTCCCTCTTTTCTTTACTCGTGACTGATTTTCATACTCTCTTATCATCAAAATGCTACTTACACGCATTCAAAATTAGGAACCTCAAGACTAATTTTTTTACAAGGGACTAAAGTGATGACAATAAAGGTGGATGATGACAATAAGGGTGCAATGATGACAATAAGGGTGGATGAAGCGTGTTTGTTTCAGACATTTTCCTCTGCTTGTCACTCACATCATACAATTGCACATGCTAAATTATGTTCTTTACCAAACTCTATAAGCTGTAAACAATTGAAGAATATGGAAACTGACTAATTAAATACAAGATAGGAGGACACTAACTAATATGTATTCCAACTACCAAAAGTAACAACTCCAAAATCACAACGGCCAGATTAATTAAGTACAAGATATGAGGATACTAACTAATATTGAGGACAATCAAATGGTTGAGCAAAAAGATATTCCCCTTGGAATCTTACTACCGAAAATAGAGTAGGAATAATGTCATCCTCTGTTTCAGTTGCACGAATCTTCAGAGCTCCAATCGAAAAACTGACCGTTAGATATAAAGTATAGTGAGCGCAACCCTTACTTAAAGTATTTTAGCACGATCCAACGGTGGACTTAAGAAAAAACATTCTCTCAAGATCGCTGCCTAAAACAGAATCCTACACACAAACCACTTCGATTTGGAATTTCTCGTGATGCTACAGGCCTCCAACCAGAAATGCCACCGTTGGATATGAATAATGATGAGTCAGGAATATGCCAACAAAATCTCAACTCGATCGGACAGTAGATGAGGACATATCGAAAAATGATCAAGGATTGTTCATTCATGTTCGTAAATTAGCTTATTTTTTGCAGGTTTCTTCTCTCTTTTCTCTTATTGTGATTGATTTCGCTTGTATTCTTGTCAGTAAAATGCTACTCACACACATTCAAAGTTATATATGTGTGTGTGTGTGTGAGCTCTAATCGACAAACTGACCGTTAGATATGAAGTTTAATGCGTGTAACTCTTGCTTAAAGTATTGCAGCACGATCCAACGGTGAACTTAAGAAAAAAAAAACATTCTCTCAAGATTGTTTCCTGTAGTGGAATCGTACACACAAACCACTTTGGTTTGGAATTTCTAGTGATGCTACTAACAGAATCTCAGCTAGACCGAACGGTAGATGAAAGATATATAGTAGAATGATCAAAGATTGCTCTTTCTTCAATTCTCCTGTGAAGTTTCTGAAATGGCTCTCTCTCTATTTTCTCTTATAGTGACTGATTTTCACACTCCCTTGTCTTCAAAATGCTATTCATGCATGTTCAAAAGGCTGTTGAACATCTTGAATTGGGAACCCTAGCTTTCTTTATTGGGCTAGACTTGACTTTTAATTAAGTGGTTAAAGCCCAACTACAAAGACCAATGCCCTTTTTGGTGGCATCGGAAGCATGTGTCACTTTTCATTTAATTTGTACAGTGATGACAACGAGGGTGGTTGGAACAGGAATCTTTCAGACATTTTTCTCTGCTTCTCACTATTGAACAATTTTTACACACACCTTAAATATCAACAGAGTCTTATCTTTCCTATGACTAGCTGACATAGGCACTACTGTCACTACATGCACTCAATGTTTGCCACAAAGGATGCAGCGGCATATTTAATGACTTTTTCTCTTACGAATGATGCGGCGACCAATTTATGCTCTTGTCCCTTTTAAATTTGATTTATATATATTTTTTGAATTTTGTGAGGGAATATATTCCTTCTTTCCCTCGCAATTCGCGAGGGAAATTATGAAATTTCAGCCGCAATTTTTTGTCCTAGATCTTGCGAAGAAACTTCTGTCGCCAATATTTTCCCTTGCTAGTTTCCGTCACAGACTTATGATGTTTGCAAGGGATTTAAATTCCCTTGTAAATTGCAACGGAAATGCAACCGATCTACAAGGGATTCTGCGACAGTGTTGTAGTAACGGAAAATTCGCTTATTTTCCGTCTCAATTGTATTTCCCTCGCAAATTCAGTCACTGTTTGCAAGGAAAATTTGCCCTCGCTATTCGCGACTTTTCTAGTAGTGATCGTGGTCCCTCACAAATTCAAAAAAGATTCATATTAGTCCCTAAAAGGACTAAAATAGGTCCATTTTAAATTTCTTAGGCATCACGATAAGCCTTTTTATTTGTTAGGGACTAAAGCGGACATCATGAAATTTGCTGAAGATCAAAAATGATATTTAGTCTGATAAATATTACGAATGCCACGTTTTACTTTTATAGTTCTCTACCTGCATAGTGTACGGCAGACTGTTCGTTATATGTAATTTATGTTTGCTTGTCATTACGAGAAGCTGCTTGATATGTTACGTTCGTTTATTATTGTGCAAGCAACTGGTGACGCCGTGCTTATATCCTATTGGTTTTGAGCTATATGATTAATATCAACCCAAGACTCGGTCTTAGGACAAATTTTTACATCAACTGACTCTCTCTCTCTCTCTCTCTCTATATATATATATATATATATATATATATTTGTGTATTAGTCATGATTTGTAGAGGTTGATTCGACCAAGCCTGGGTAGTAAAGTATAATATGTCATTCGATTAGTAGGTCCGTAATCTATATGTTTCCGTAATCTATATGTTTGATTTCAAACTTCCATTGTCCATATTTGACGATTCAATGTTGCTTGTGGGCAAAGGATTCATGTTATTTATTTCGATGATGAAGATGACTAAGAAGCAATATTTTTGTAATGGAATTCATCTTTTTAATTATGATTTTATTTTAATATCTATCTAATTAATTTGCTTTCAATAAGTCTTTGTGTAGAAATTTGTTTAAAAATAATCACTTAATTATTCGCCCCTATTTCCAAATAATCGTAGACTTGCAAACCTACCCATTACGCACCTGATTACGTGTGGGCTTCAACCACCATTATATTAGCTTGTGCGAATTTCTATCTAAGTTCCTTCAACTTTTAACTGAAGAACCAATAAAAAGGAGGTTAGCTTGTTTAAGTTGCAGTTTAATTGGAAATTTGAATTCTTAAATAAGCAATACTTATTGTATATGCTTGAATCAATATTTGACGTGAAAAAAAAAACACAATTTTTTACAGGAGCATAGCCTCAAGTTGCATTTTTGTTAAAAATTATAATAAAATTTTATTTCCACAACTCCTTCAAATAAAAATAAAGTGACATTTTTAATTATTAATAAAAACATATGAGTTGAAAGAAAAGAAAAAAAGAGAGAGAAGATAAACCAACTAAACACTGTTGAAATATTCATTGCTCAACTGGAAAATTAAAGTACACATCATGGAATCAAAGATTATAATTGATCTCAAACTAAGTGTGTATTAATGTCAACCATAACCTTAGTCACTACCTCCACAACTAGCACCGCCGGACCACCTTCCATCATCATTGCTACCACTGTTGTCGTCGCCATTTCCACCATTGTTGTTGCCGTAGTTATTGTCGCTGCCGTTACTGCCCCCTCCATAATCACCATAATCACCGTAATCACTATAATGACCGGTGCTACCTTGATCTCCATCTGAAGCTATGGCATCTTCTATTGTTGCTATAGCAGCGGCAGTACCTAACATAGTAACCATGCCAACGCCTTTGTCTCTGCCACCACCTCTCCCTCTGTTGGAACTGCCTTCAAAGGCATGATATTGTTGGACATGACTACTTGTATGCATACTTTGAAATCCTTCACTGCTCTTGTATTTGTTTCTACCACCGCCCCCTCCATAATAATAACTAGTGCTTCCTTGATCTCCAACCGAATTTATGGAATCTTCAGTGGTTACTAAATAATCATCAGTATCTCTCATAGTAACCATGTCACCATAACCTCTGAATCTGTATTTGTTTTCATCTATCCTGTTTCTATCTTTAGAGCAAAGACATCCCATATGTACAAAATATTGAAGTTACTGACTTTGAGGGACAGTTTGTTATATCCTTTATATAATGTATAGCCAAGCACCAAGTTTGCACGAAAGTTCTATAAAGTTTACACTAAAAGTACTATAAGGTCCGTAAATTTTTCTTCTTTTCCTATTCCGAGTTCTTTGGACTTATTATATGGCCTCTTCCTTTCACATATCTAATTCCCTTTTTATATTTTCTATTGAAGTTGTAATTAATATTAGAACCTTATGCAATTAATGTTCAATCGTCAAGGCATTAAAGGAGGAACAACATCCAACAAATTTTGCCCTTCTGACTTTAACTTGGCGGGCTAGTCAACTCAACACGAAGGCAACAATCTTTAAACTTATTCTTTGCTAGAACTAATTTCATCATCATGCACAGATAAATTAAGGTTGGTTTGCCCTTTGTCAAGTTGAAGATGCTTTTCTTCTATCACATCTCGGATCCAGTCTAACAAATATCAATGTGTTTTGTACGGGAATGATAAGTAAAGTTTTTAGCCAAGTGACTGGCACTTCAGTTGTCACACTTCAGTATATATCTTTCACATTTGTGATCAAGTTCAAGCAGGAAGTTCTTTATTCATATTTTTGGAGCTTTGATTGCCAGAATATTGCTCCCCCTACAAAGGTAGTTAGGTTGCCTATCGTCAACTTTTTATAGTTGGTATGTCCCCCTAAGTCGGCATCAGAGAGTAGCCTTCCAACTCACTTTTTTCCTTTTCCAAAGCATAGGCATAGCTTGGTCGTTCCTCGAAGGTATTTGAAGATTCATTTGACAGGTTCCTAGTTCTCTTGGCTCGATTTTGAAAGAAACCAGCTTACTAGACTAATAGCATGCGCAATATTGAGTCTTGTACACACCATTACATATAGCATATTGGTATGAGATCTTAATCATCTCATCTCTGTCGTCGTCGCTACTTGAACATTGCTTCTAACTGAGCTTGATGTGTTCGGCCAAAGGTGTACTCACCGTCTTGGACTTGTTCATGTTGAATATTTTCATAATCATCTTTATATATTTTTCTTAGGTCAACAATAATAATCTTTTTGGGAAAAAATTAAAGTTTTTTAATTCCAAGAATTTATTTTAATGGAGGAAAATGGAAAAAGAAGTGCTCAAAGATTTCTTATAGGAGGATATCTTCCTTTTGTCCTGCCCAACTAGTAGCATATCATCAACATAAAGAGGAAGAATTAAGAAGTCCGAGTATCCTACATTTTAACAAATATATAGTGGTTGGCTTTTGTCTTCATGAAGTCATGCTCTATTATAAAGGAGTCAAATTTCTTATCCCACTACGTAGGTGCTTGCTTCAACTCGTTGAAACTCTTCTTAAGTCGGCAAATCAAATGCTCTTTACCTGGAACCCATAACACATCGAGTTGTTCCATATAAATTTTTTTCTATAGATCGCTGTGAAGGAAGGTTGTCTTCACGTCCATTTGCTTAATCTGCAAGTGCATAGAGCCTTGTCAAAAATTGTATGCACAAAGGTCATATTACCCACTGGTATGAAATTTCTTCCAATTCAACTTTTTTCTTATAATTGCAACCATAGTATATACTCATTAGGTGGGAACCTAGCATATGGTTGTTGTACATGAGTTGAACGTCGAGTTTGTGGTTGAGAGTTTGAAAAATGCCACTAGAAAAGACCATTTCCCTTTGCGATTCACAGATCAAATGTTGGATCATTCGGCTGGAAAAGAATATTTATGTTTCCTTGATGGTTTTCTGGGTATAACCAGATACTAGTCGCTCCTGAAGATAAACACAAGACCTCCTTCACCTGTCCTTACGGAACATTTGCGTTTAAAAGAATATCTTTCGGGCTATGTAATGTTGTAGCAATGTTCCAGAGATGTATGTTTGCAATATTCTTAGATTTGATAAGTGAAAAAGCTGAGGTGTTTATGGATGACTTTTCTGTATTAAGTGAATCTTTAGATCACATCTTGAAAATTTTGGAACATGTCTTACAAAGGTGTTTAGCCTCTAACCTCATTCTCAATTGGGAGAAATGCCAATTTATGGTGAAATAAGGCATTGTATTGGTGATAAAATTTTCAAGAATAGATTAGAAGTAGATCAAGCCAAAGTAGAAGCCATCTCAAAGATGCCACCACCAGTGAATGTGAAAACTCTTTGAAGTTTTCTAAGACATGTTGGCTTTTATCAGAGATTCATCAAAGACTTTTCCAAGATTGCAAGAACTCTGTCAACTTCTCGAGAAAGACAGGAAGTTTGAATTTAAAACGGAATGCTTAAAGGCCTTTGAACTCTTAAAGGAAAAATTAATTTCTGCACCCATCATTCAACCATCAGACTAGAACCTACCCTTTGATTAACAATTGTAAAAAGGCTGCAAATGTAAAAAGACTGTAGCCAGGATGCACTTCACCACCGATCCTCCCTTATATTCCTATATTGTATTTTATAAATAACTAATTTATTTGCTTAAATAATTTATTATTTTCCTATAAATTATTTGAACCCTAATGTCTTAGTGATTTCAACCCTTTAACCCAATTATAATACTAGTGTCCTAGTAATCTCTCTTGAATTAAGCATTAAGCAAATCAATTAAAAGTCTGCAATCTATGTAAGCTTATGTCTAGGTCATGCACAAATTGTTATTCTACCCTTGTCCAGACTAAATCCCCAATATGTCTATTGTGAGTTCTAACCCTCAAAGCCCTATAATTAGAGTGGCCAATTCTAATCAGGATATGGAAAAATTAACACAGGCAGAATAAAATAAACTAACTAATTAACTTATAAAAATAACACAGAAAATATAAAGAATTCACATTGGGTCCGTGATCCCAGCTACAAAAAAAATTAGCTAGACATAGCTGGTTTAAACAAAAAAAAATAGTAAAAAGAATTCATAACAAAGAAAGAAAGAAAAAAAGATGAAGAAGAAAGATCAATGGTCTTCAATCTTCAAATTCTCCGAAAATCTGATCTCCATCGTGAGTCTCCTCCTCTGAAAATTGTTGCCTCTGTCGAATTGTGTCCTTGTGTTTCCAAGAGATGCCTTTTTATAGAGATGAAACCATATCTTTTAATTTTCCATCATATCTTCAATGGAATCTTCACTAGAATCTCTAATCATATCTTTGATCCAATCTTTCAAATCTTTCCCTTTTTTATTTAATGGAAAACTTTTCTTAAAATATTCAAAGGAAGATTTGATAAGATCTTCAATGATTCAGAAATCCAAAGCAACTCTACTTGATATCTTCAATTTATCTCTTTATTGAGCTGAAATTTACTGCAAAATATAAGAAATCTTATGCGAATATTATTGAAAATAAAATAACAATTTAATTATAATCCTCATAACTTTTAATTACTTTTAAATCAATTTCATGCTCATATTAACCTTTAATATATAATAAATTGGAGACTCATCAAACAATTCCCAGATTTAGACATTGATGTCCTCAGCAATAAACTAGAATAAACACTATGAAGCACGAACTTAACTTTGTAAGAATAGACACATAAAATTCAAGCATAACATTGCATCAACACAAAGAATTTGGAGCATAAGCTCATGAGAGTACTATGCTAAGCATGCATGATTTTCAGTGTTGAGAATTTCAAACAAAACTTTTCAGTTTCAAAAAAAAAAATTAGAGTCTAACTTGAATACCCGTCACTAAGATAAATAATACACTCATCACTTAAGTGTTTGGGGTATAATCACTCAATTCATCAATGTAATAATACTACGATAGGCTTGATCTTATTCTCAAGTTCCTAAAGATGAGGAACATAAATAACATGCAAAAATTGATCAAAAGGTCTTTTTAGGGTTGTAACGTGGCTTGCTTTAGGGGTAGGAATATTTGGAAAATAGCTAATTTGATTGTGTGAGATTGAAACACATTTAATTCGATTCAAGGTTCAGTAAACTCTCAAACAATATTTCACTACTTCTTCCTTTTAATTCAAGATTTTTATTCCTTATTACCAAAAAAAAAAAAGATTTTTATTCCTTTTTCACCACCTTTTTCTTTCTCCCTGGTAATAAATTATAGCAAAAATTTTCTTTCACAATTTCTTTCTTTTCCTTTGCACATCCTCTTCTCAGACAGATTTATTTTTCCTTTGTGGCACCCTTTTCCTTTTTATCACTTAACTTTCAATAGGGCACTTCACCTTGAATTTTCTTTGGTCCGTATTTCAATCTCATTCAAGGGTGAGTCAACAAGAATATAAGCTAAGTAATTTATGGAAAATTGAACAAAAAATCAGTCTAAGGCTCAAAGGGACTAGCAATGGAAAAAAAAATTCAGGTGGGCTATTTGGCCAAGTGGTTAACAAGAACAAAAGTTCCTTTATCATTTCAATTCATGCATGCATCACAGAGAAACAGATCAAGTTCTAGAGTACCACTACAGTGAGGTCTCTCAAAAGAAAATTACTGTACAGGCTCAAATCTCACAGGCTGTGGTGTCAAGCTAGAATCTAATTTTTAATTTTCACATCAAAGCTTTATCTAAAAATTCTCAAAAAGAAAATCACACAAACGAGTAGTCATATTCTCTAGATAATATTCAATGCAATGTCATGACAGAAAAAAATCATTATGAATTCTAACAGTGTCACATGTGCTCTCTAAGGTTTAATCAACTTATTAACTGAGTAGCTAATGAACATCTAGGCATGCCTTTCAGAGAATTATTACTACTAAAAAAAATAACTAAAAAAATTAAAATTTTGAGACAAAAGGTTAGGATATCTCCCTTGAATCAGAATTTTTTTTCTGTTCGACGTCTTTTCTGTGTGATTCTTCATTATCGCATATGATGCGCCCAATTCCCAGATTTAGAAAATTGTTGTCCCCAGCAATAAATATAAACTTGTTGAAGAATAAAACTTCTGCACAGGTGAAACACACACACTTGTTAAACATCAAAATAGAATAAACTAGAAAATTGTATCCAAGGACATAAACATA